GTTGGAGGGAATCTTTGGGTATCTTTCAGGTTACCCCCGAGCAGTAGTGCGTTGGAGAAGGCAGCAAGTGAGTCATGGGTTATTAGTTAGGATTTGATAGAGGTGTGGTATTAATATATAATAAGATCATCTTTGATCACCTATCTAGAACGTATACGATCCCTGCGTGGCAGTGACAAGCCGATGGAGCCAGGTTCGGGCTCAGGTTCACCTCCCCCTCCTTCTCGGACCTCAGCTAAGCAGCCTGCCCCGCGTGCCCCATGCTGGGGTCCACCCCCTACTCCTCTGCCTCCGTCTACTACCGGTCTAGCGTCATCAGTCTGGGGCCCACCACCGGGAATGCCCCCACCTCCCCCTCCTCCTCCTGGGCCCCCACCAGCCGTACCTAAAATGTCATCAAAGTAGTAGTAGTTACAGTGAACGGATGGGGAATGGTAGCAATGCATATCATAGGTCCAGCCAAGGCGCAGGTGCTGCTGTTACTGGTAGTAGTAGTAGTAGTAGCAATAACAGAAATGCTGCAATGGTGATGGGAGGAGATGGGACTCCACAGAGTGCCGCACAGGCGATGGACTCGCCCCAGAGGGCTACAGGAGGGTAGCGGGGTGATGGTCATACTTTTCAATTGGAGTTGGCTATAGTCACTGTGGGGTTTTCGCTTTGGTGTGGTATCATATTTCCCCGGCGTGAAAATATTACGACGCTCTTCGTTTCGCGTTCTTTCGTCCTGCGAAATGCATTGCATCGCGGACTAGCCGTAGGACAGGTGGAATATACATTTGGTTGGATGGCTGAGATCAGTACATTGCAGTTCCCCCAACCGTCCCCCTCCGCTCTCCTCATCAACGTCCTCCTCTGGGCCACCTCCCTTTGTATTGCCATCATCAGCGGTGGGTAAAGGCATGAGGCCCCCTAGTGGCAGGGTGCCGAGGTCGCCCATCCCACCGATCGAGAAGCCCGCGCCCCTGCCTCCCTACATGTTGGAGCGCCCACCACCACATGCCACTTCGTTGAGTGCCGACCCAGTAGGCGGAGCGAAGCGATGAGTATTTGTTATTATTACTCGTGTGATCCTCAGACTATACGGAAGGAATTGCAGATGCACCGTGTGAATACCGTGCTTTCTAACAGGACTATCCTGTTGATTCTACATGCTGCTGGAAGATTGTCGGAATATTTCACTCCACCACAATCGTTGGGCCTGATAACCATCTTGAATCGATAGTTATAAGACTGCTAGGGTGGAAAGTAGCGAAAACAGCTTTTTTTATGAAAGTTATGTGGGAGTAATGATAGGGAAAAACATAACGTGTTGTTGATTTGGGTGGATGTGCATCGATTTTCGCATTGTTGCTTCCGTGTAGTTCCCGATTTCGTCCAGAATAAGTATCATACATTATTATCACTACCCGAGGGAGGTAGCAATACCCGACAAGCTGTAATCACGGCTTCCGCTCCTGCTGTTGAGGGCCAGACGAAGGTCGGCAGTAGCAGCAGCAGCAGTAGTAGTAATGTTGGCAATGGCTCTTACTTTGGATACCAGTACAAGACTTATTTCTATAAGGCACTCTCGGTCGCGGTAAGGGGGGGGTGCAGTGTTGGGGTCATTTCGATCTGCATCATGGTTTTCGCGCTGACGTGCGATCTGGTACTTGCTGTGTTGTGGTCGTGTGTAGGACTCCTATGTCTATTGCCTATGTCGAGTTGATGGGTTCAGCCTGAGCAACTTTGACTTGGTCACAGAGGCTGTTAGAACGTGGAGCGCCATTGTAGGTTGCCGACTTGATGTCGTAGACACTTGTGCTGTTATTCAGCACCATCCATGTATAGTACCCTTACGGCAAGCCTTCGGGACGAGAGATTTCATTGAAGCTGAGAACCCTAGTCAAGATGGAGGGTCCTTGGTAGGGTATCGCTCCGCTAGTGAAGTGGTGACAGGTCGTCTTGTTAGGTTTATGTGTATGATTATATACCGTCAGTGGCGACACTGCAGTCGGTATTCATAGACTCGCCTACGCTCAAACAGAATGGGATTGGGGGAATACCTGAACATGTTATATGGGTGGGTGCAGGGATAGAACTCGGGGTCTCGCGGTAGCCCGCGCTGAGTTATACCGTTGAGCCATGTTGGACGGCTGTGTGATGTTGCAGGACGTACTGAGCCAGCTCATCATGTGTCTCAAGTACATTCACAGTCATGGCCTCTCTGCGAAAGTCATCCATCCAACGAAGGTGATCACTTGCCTGTTCGAGGATCGGTATGGTCAAATTGAGTCCCGTCAGATTCTGGTAACCGACACCGCCTTTCTCTACCCACCACGGGTCTACTTGAACTGCGTGGGTCTATTGGATGCCTTGGCACAGGAGTCAGTGAGTGCCCACCTGCAACGATGGCTTTGTCTTATGCTCTCTATCGATACAGCCACCTACTAGAAACGGCCTAGCGCCGCCGACAGCATGGGTGGGCTCCTCTCGGACCACCACTGGGCAGGCGCCACAACAGCAACAGCAGCAGCAGAGCTCGATAGCGCATCAACAGCAGAAAGATCTTATATGTTTGGGACGCCTTATTCTGTCTATGGCCACTGGTGAGGATTGTAACCCATGTGCTTCAACATTGCATTTTAGGGCGTAGTGACAATGCGCTGAAGATTCCCGAGGAGATGGACGCCTCTAATGGGGTGGGTTTCATGGCCAACCCGACCTATTCGGATGATTTGAAGTCGCTGGCTCAAATTCTTCTCACTCAAGTGAAGGATTTGTCCAACTACCCCACTTCGGAACAACTGGCTTTCAAATACTGCAATCACATTGTCAACAAGGTGAGCTCTGCGGGAATTCACTCGGAATACCATATCGGTTTTTTTAGTTCGAAACCTCCTTATTCACTACGGACATGCTCCTGAACGAATTCAAACTGGAGGTGGACAACTCGAGAATGCTCAAACTGCTTATCAAGCTATGTAAGGAGTAAACGTTGAGGAAACGCAAGATTTTGCAAGATTGCAAGATTGTTGTGTATTAGGCACCATTGCTTATTGCTATCCCATGAACTACAGTGGCAGTCTACCTTCTAGAGCGTATCAGCAGAGCACGGCGTCGTCCTCCGAGACTGCAGTACTCGGGCGAAACGCCAATCGTGGGGCTCAGCCCAACAATGGGGATGCTAAACGGTAGGGTGTCTGGTGGTGTGCAATGATAGGACTCGCAGTGGGAGGGTCTATGGATAGTGGTCCTTGCTATCTGCGACTTGAGTCGGCTTGGAGTTATCGTTGTGATACTAGTATTTATTGACGCGAGTCTTTTGGCGGGAAAATTTGAAAAATTTGTCCCATCTGATGAGGTGTAGGTGAGGGGGCGGTATTCATCAAATTTATGGTATACTCGCATATCCCTTCATCTCAAGCATGATGGTTTTTTCCCTTTTTTGGTTTTTTGGTTTTTTACTTTTTTTGCGGTTGAGGTAGAGGCTTTTGAGGTGGTCGTTGGTGGAACTGTGGGAGTAGAAAGTTACCTCTTGCATTCGAGTAGTTCTATTTGTGACTGGATTCAGGCTGGAGCGTCCAAGTTGGGCAAAGAACATGAACGCTCAGCAAATGGATGAACGGCAGCTGGTAAGCCTATACAACCCTGGTTCGATCCCTGCACCTGACATTATTAGGTGAATATGTTCATGGAGTACCTCTTTGGTCAAGTTGTTCCTGGAACGTCGCCTCCCGCCAGCATGGTGAGCATAGCCTCGCCAGCAACCAGCACTTCGGGAGCATGTCTTCAGGTGGCCAACAATCTTCAGCATGTTCTTGACGGTTTGGCGAAGGCCGACGTGGGCACTCTACATGAGACTATCACTCTGGGGAGCAAGGTATGTCGGAGGTATGCATCTTCATAGGGAGGAATAGTTTTCAGGATGGTGCTGATTGTGTGCTGGCCACGTTTGGCGACATCAAGCGGTCTGTGGATGGCTCATTTCGGGACTTGGTTCTAGAGTCCACAGATGCAGTGCAAGCCTCGGCAGGCTTGAGGGCGGTCTCCCACACGGGTCATCATGGTCATCATGGTCATCCTCATCATCATCATCAGCACACTTCCAGCAGCAGCAGCAGTGGTTTGATGAGGTCTACAACGGGCCCGCCTGTGATGGGAGGGGAGAGTGGCCCTACCCTGATGGAAGGAGTAGGAGGAGGAGACGGCAGTACGGGTGAGCTTATCGTGAGGACGGCAGCAGATGGTGTACGCGTTCCCTTCTCAGGATCCCAACCGCGATCTGGCACTCCTCAGAGGATGCCTAGATAGTAGTGATGGCGAATATTCGATATGCATTTATAATATTTGGGATAGTGCTACCGCTCCATCATCATCATTGGCCAGGATGATGGTGGCATTGATGACAATGCTTGGGATCTGACGAAGCCCTTGTGTACCATAACTTCTCCATATCATCATCTTGGGGATGTCGTGGCATCACTCGCAAGGCCCTCGCGGGCAGACTACAATGAGTAAAATAGAATTGATAACCATTGAAAGTGTTTTCTATAGTGAAGGAGTTGAGTTGCATGCCAAGGATGGGGTGGCGAACAGCATTTGGTGTTGACTGTTGCATCGGACGAGTATAATGTCCTTCAACTGTTCTAACGTCTCGAGGTGTCCTACGATATGTTAAAAGTGCAGGCGTGAGGGGTTGATGGGCAGGGTCGGTGGTGAGGAGTAGACTCTACTCAGTAGAGGTGCTGTGGATGAGGAATGCCTTTGGTATGTCGATGACGAATGCTAGTGGAGCTTTATGCTACTAATATAGCATAGACTTGGTAGAATAGGTATATGCGAAGTTGCAAGGCCCTATCCAGTACTACTGAATCTAGTCATCAGCTACGCACTGTTATATTTCCAAAGTCCCCTCAGCAGTAGCAGCTCAGCTCAAGCGGTGCAGTGAGCGAAGGAGATGCCAAGCCGTCGGGGGAAGACCCTCCACCTGCTAACGTACACTACTGATAATGATGTTCTGTAGAGTTGGGTTCACCAGCCTAGCATTAACCAAGTAGTTTTCATTCCAAGATGCTACGTAATGGCGGTGGCCACACAGCGGGCCCTACTTCCTCGTCGTCATCATCCTATGCAGCTCGGGGAGAGGCATGCTTCCAGAGAATGGATAAATGCAATGCTGAAGTGCTGGCACTGCTGTAGGTTTGGTTGCATCACCCGAGGGAAGTATTACCCACCGTGTTCACTCACTTCGACGCTGTTCCGCGTGAGCAAAGTTTACAAGCTTAGCCCCACAAGGGGACGTCGGGAATGATAGTTTTCGGTCGACATCGTCTGGTCAAGTATGGGCAATCACATGCTAATTGTATTTGCGAAGTTTTAGATCGACTCTCATAAATCTCGGGGAATATTTTTCACGTTTGCATGCCAAACTGCCACACACTATATATCACAGACTGTGATATAGTGCGTGTCAGTTTGATAATCACATTGTCAGGTATGGTGCCACAGTGAGGCAGTTGTTGGTGGATTTTGAAGGCGACTTTGATAAGGTTAACAAAGAGCTGTACAGGATGGGTACCGATATCGGCGCTAGACTGCTTGATGAGTTCCTCATCAAGAGTAGAGCACCTCCTTGTCAGGACTTCAGAGACGCGTGTGAGGTGATGTTTATGGACATGCTCTCACCGGGGATCGAACCTGCGCCCTATCCCTCAGGTTATGAGCAAAGTTGCATTGAAGATGTATCTTGGGGTAACAGGAGACTGTGTCGATTGGGACAACAGTACAGAGGGAAGGAAGTGCCGTTTGGTGACATCACTGCTTCGCTCCGCTAAGGCCAACATATGCCTTCCATAGGTGCTCCCAGTGAACCCACTTAATGACTTTGTAGAGCTGCCAATGGAGCTGAGGCGTCCGACAGCAACAACAACAGCAGCAGGAGGCACTGACCACCCTGGGCCTATCTTGTGAGTTTTGGGCCTTCCTCATCTCCTTGGCATTATCGTTAGAGTAGTGGCAAATGCGACGCTCAGTGAAACCATCAGTGAACCATGAAATTACTCTATTTTTAACTGATGTAGTCGAGTGTATAGAGTACAAGTCAGATAGAAATTCTCAAGCAGGCGAACGGCATTGGAGCTGCAAACCCACTCTGCGTTTTAGGTACTACAGCAACATACTGTGTGGTGTCATAGCTGGTGCGATGGAGCAACTAAGGATAAACGTAGCGATAGAATTAATTGGTTGAAAGTTCAGAGGGCGCTGATAATTATCAGGTTGCTGTCCAGTTTGAGAGTGACGTTTTACTCGGGGACGAGACATCGGTGATCAGTCTTGAACTTCTGGAGGTAAAGACGGAGATGCCGAGGCTGGGAATCGAACCCACGACTATCTTCGTTCAGATTATCACCGATGATATCCACGAAGACTCTGATAGTGACGCTGAGTAGACAGAGACAAGCAGTCCTTCTCTATATCGTTTCTATGTTGTTGTGTGTTGGATTAGTAATGGGAAGATTCTGTGACGCAATTGGTTTCTACTGTGAACTCCGCCCACTGCGCATTCCCTCACCACTCAAGCCTCGGTAATCTGGCATGGTCCAGTGAATGCCCCCCGGGTAGAATCGCCGGAGGTCATGCTGTGCTATCGAGTTTCTCATTCATTGCTGGTCTCTGCCGAAGTGCCGGCTGACCTACGACATGATATCGTTAGTGTGCGATGAGTACATTATGTCCTCAGAGCATCACATTGTTAGTCAGGATGGTCGAAAACTCGTAGGTATCATGTTTCCGAATAAGAAAACAAAATCAGTGTCCAAGCGCCTCCATAAAACACCTCTTACAATAGTCAGTATCTCTTAACAGTGGTTGAATGAGAAGTCAATCTCACAAGGGTTCATATATGGAGCGTGATAAGTGGGGGTATACATTACATACATCATAATCGGATCTCACAGATGGCCAACATCTAATGATGCGATGTCAGGATGGGAACGATTATAAACGGAGATCTGATAACTAACAATGACCATTATCCCAAACCATTCGCATTCCTTCGATGCTTGCGAAGTGAACATACTAGAAATAAATGTCCACGAAGAGCAAGAACAGAATATGGCGATAGTAGTGACGTCACTCGGAATACATAGAGCCGTTGAACAGAGCATGCACGGGGAATTATGCACCGACCTGGTGTTAGTATAGACGAACTTTGTAGGTAACAACACATATCCCCGATGCCGTAGCACAATCGGGGAAATAACATTTGATTATTGTCTCAAGCTTTGTATCAAAGAGTTCTCGTTTTTGTTCCCCCCTACTCAACTGTGGATTTCTCGGGATGGCAAACCAAACCCAGTGCTATGTAACTGTCGAACTCGGAAACTCTTTTGATGAGCTCACAAGAAACTAGGAAGACACCGGTAACGACGTCAATCCATTTGGATATCCTCAACGGCCGAATCACTCGATGATGATGACGCTCCTCTGCCTCGTCGTGCTTCGTTACCAGCGGCCTACGCACGGCGACGATTTCACACAAAGGTGACAACCTACGAGTCACCTCTTCTAGAAGGATCCGTTGTATTAGTGGATCTTCATCATCATCAATCTCGAGATTCCCTCGATCTCCCAAGTCGTTCACCATCCCATTCTCCTCTTCCTCCTCTCCTTCATCCACAGGCTGAGGTTCCCCTCCTAGACCCAACCGTTCGGTGATCCGATCTAGAGCTCCTCGAATGCCAGCCGTGATGTTTATCTGAGAACGAGTTATGACAACTAAGTGAAAGCATGGTGGTCCTACCGGTTCGGCTTCAGTACCAGTGTAATCCACACGTGACCATGGCATGAGGCTTTGGAGAAATGCGACAACAGGATTCGACTCTAGGGATACATTTGCTCGACTGGCATCTCCTCCATCACGACGGAGATCAGTTCCATAAGTTTTGAACAACTGAGGGAAATCCAAACATCCGTGAGTGTTGAAGAATGTCAGCATCCTAACCTCATTGTCGGCTTCAAAGAGAGCCCTTGGAAGCATCGGAGAATTGACGGTGAACTCCGACTTGGAAATGTCAGAATACCTTCCGACTAGATCAGGCAGAGTGCTCGTAGACCATCGCCTTCTAACAAGCTCCAGGTCTGGACTCAGCTCAACCTGCCAAGGAGACACTATCTTGCAATCTTGCAATTCCTCAACGCTAGTGTGGTACCAGCCGTTGACAGACAGAGAAGAGCCACTGCTGCAACTGTTCGGGTTTCCATAATTGCCACGCCTTCTCGGCATAAGCTTCCCCCATAAGGAGGTGGATCGAGCCGAATTTTGCATGCATGAAGTATCTGCACACGAGAGACTCACAGTTGTTCACACTGTTACATGACGCACGTTCGAGCATCCGAGAACGGGGGGTTCCTAAACAAATCTTCCCAAGGTTTATGCCCCGGTCCTGATAGAGGAGTTGACATCGCTATCAACAGTGTTCGCACAGTATACGGGAACCTGACGGTATGCAGGACGTCAACGCCGTGAGTGTAACGAAGCCTCTCACAGAAGTATGGCTTTCATGAGCGCCACCGAAGCATCTAATGCCGAGTCGCCAGTCGGAGCATCTGAGAGATAAGATATTCACCCAGAATAGACTTGAGCCCCTCACCAGTGATGATGAGCGTTTTCCGCAAGTCCTCGGCCGTGACCCGTGGTATAGCGGCTGAAGCCTCCTCGGCTGTCGGTAGCTGTTGATATCGCGCCAACGCTTCCGAGAATCTATGCCGACACATGAAACTAAATAAGGTTGATAACTACTCACGCGAAGTTTGGCATTGCGAGATCGAGAGCTGAGTATTGAACTTCCTCAGGAGCTGCAGGTGGCAATGACGCGTAGGACGCTACGAAACGGTGAAGCCAATCGTATTCGTGGCTGCGGATCTGAAAACGAGGAGGATGGCAGTTGGGATCAGGAACAGGAAGGCTACAGCATAAGTATCAAGGTGCATGAGGGCATGAACTCTATCCTTCTCGACATCCATTAGCAGTAGTAGTTTGAAAATCTCCAAAGCTGTACGAGTGCAGCCTTGACCAGCCAGTAGCAGACCGTGAACCTACAATGGAGTCCTCCTGAAGGCGTGATCTCGGGAAGGGAGGCTCACCAACAGAGTCCTTAATGCGAGGATTGTGAAACAGTAGTAAGGGTCCTCCTTGGACAGCCGCAGTGAGGCTACTAATCCCACTTCTTCGTTACCGGTAGGATGCTCTGAAATTCGGGACGATCAGAATAGTCACAGCGCGACTCTCCCCGGTCCAGAGGCTAAATGTGTGATATTCATCCGTCCTTACTGCCCCTAGCATGTCGCTTCTTGCCGCTGCTGTTTTTCTTCTGATTCTTGTGCCCAGTATTAGACTCCATGAAAGGATCAAATAGGGGATGAGTGCTGCATTGTAGGACATACAGCCCTCGCCGCAAGAGCTGCCCGGCACGCTCGAACTCCCGATGCTCCCGGTAGAGGTCAGTGATAGCCAGTATCTGATGACTGGCCTCAATGAACAGCGATTGGACAAAGGAGTGGTACTGAATGAAGATGGAAAGGGTTCTTCTGGAGAAAGTATATGAGAGAATCCACGTCCGAGGAGG